TGTGAGATGTCTTTTTATACTTTGCTATTACCTCTTGGATATTATATATAGCATATGAAAATTTGTATAAATATACATTAATCTTTTCATTGATACATGGATTCATAAGAAACCCATATATATATTATGGGTTATTATAATTATATAATGAACTGTTTTCCATATAGATACAGGAATAGACTATTTTAAGGCTTCTTGGCAATGGTGGTTGTTTTTTATTTTTTACTATCAAGGATGAAACTCAGGCCATGTGCCTACTAGGCCAGAGCTCTTTCACTACCAACAGGACAGCCCAACATTTTCCATGTTCCTTAACTCTTCAAATTTTACCTTTTGTCTCGATCTATATTCCTTGCTAGTCACATGAAATATTTCTAGAAAAAAAAATCCCTTACTTTTTCCAAACATCACTTTCTACTGTATAATTCTTCCCTAAGTAATACTTTTTAAAAAGAAAACATATCCACTAACTCATCATTCCCAATTATTAACTTTTTATGCTTTCCTCATAAAAGAAACTTACAAAGTGCAGATCAGCTTATGCCTTGCCTCAACTTAATCTTCGTCATATTACTGTATCTTAAACAACAAACATGTTATCTCCACGGGGTTTTATAAACCCGTGCAAGGACACTCAGGAGTGTTTTTCTACGGGATGCCAGCTGAGCCTCAACCTTGTCAGGCCCAACTGCAGGCTTCGGAGGAGGCACAAGAGACCCTAGGCGGCTTGTTCTCTACTAATGTCTAAGAAGCCTCCCTAGCCATCCGCTGCTGAGAGGAAGCCTTCTCCACTCTCTAAACCAGTGGGAAGATACGTGATGTCCAGTTACCTGGAAGCCCCGCTCCCACAACCACACTTCCTAGCTTTCCACACTTCCCAGACCTGCCGCTCTGGTCGCTTGTGAGGAGCCAGACTTGAGTCTGGGGTCAGCCAGCCTCACACAGGAGATGATTGGCCTGGAGCTGTGCCTGTCCTCAGATCAGTAACATCAGCACCAGATCCCACTAGCTCCCTTGGATCTGGGGTTGAGCCTGTACGGAGCCCCAGGCATCAGCTAGTCCTGCAAGCCAGCCTACGTCACTTCTCTAGCCACGGGGGTCACCAATACTTGTACCTGAGAGGTTCCTCAGCTCTAAGCGGTCCTCACCAGTGTGGCACAGGTAGAAAGGGGCAGGAATGATGGTCACATGGTCACTGGGGCAGTGACTAGAGACCTTTTCTCTGCAGATCTGAAAGGCAAGGCTTCTGGGTGACAAATGGTTACAGAGGCTTGCAGCTGGACTGCAGGTGGGTCCACAGGGCAGAGATGAGTGGGGGACCACGACTGCACAACTTGGCCACAGGTGCTATCCTGGGGTTCTTAAGCTGTGTGTGTGCTTGTGCTTGCTCAGATAGAGCCTCATCCTGGTGAGGTGTGCCCAGTGCAGCATGCCGCAGCCTACACTCACTGTCACAGGTTCAGTCCCTGACTGAGCTGACCCAGCTGGTGACCCAAGTGACAACTAAGCCCAAGCGCTTCCTTCTTGGTGTGGCCACAGATGATCCCAATGTCCTCCGCACCCAGTCCAATTGAGAGGTGGCAGGGGTTTTGGAGGGGCATCTCCTAAAGCCCAGCCCCAGCACTCTGCACAGGAGTGACATGCCCCCTCTTCCAGGAAAAGAATTTAGGCTCCTCTGGCTGCTTCTCCTCATGCTCAGCATTTGCAAGTGTGAGTTTCAGGGAGAAGAGTTCAATCTGTAATCTAACATAGGATGATGGGAGGTAGCCTAAACTAGGTTTATAGATTACATGACCTTTTCCAGACTGTTTGCCAATAACAGCCATGTCCCACACCTAACTACAGCAGTTTAAACCACATCTGTCCTGAGAAATAAGGAAGAACCTTCCCCAACTCAAGAAAACTGCTGTGCTTCCGAATTCAGGAAGGCAACCGTGAAACTCAGTGAGGCCTTCTCCCAAGAATGTAAAACAGAGTAGGATTATATTCAATGCAAGGGATTTAGGCTCAATGCCCAGCCTAGAGGGAGGGGAGCGAAGCAATGCAGAGAAGCGATTGCAAGCCATGTTGGAAAATTTTTTTGCCTTAATTGTAACAGTAATGGTTTCATATCTGGACAGAAATTTCCATTTAATCATGTTATTATATCTTACCTGTGCAATGTGTAAAGCAGACAGCCTGAGTGTGGTGGTGATATGAACACCCAGGACTTCAGAAAAAAACAAAAAACAAAAACAAAAAAAAAAACACTAATACTGCAGCTCTCTCCCATTCCACGACCCAAGTCTGGCTCTGAACTTGGAAATGTACTTCTTCACCAGCCGTGGAGGACAGATCTGATATCCTGTCATCCAACCTTGCATTAAGCAACTGGTATTTTTCATGTTAGCTATTCAAGTAGGCTTGGGCTATAAAGCATCGTGGTTTTTTGTTTGTTTGTTTGTTTTATTTTGTTTTTTGTTTTTTGTTTTGTTTTGTTTTGTTTTGGCAGAACTGGGGATTGAACTCAAGATTCTTGCGCTTGCCAGGGCTGCACTTAATCCACGGAGCCATCTCCCCAGCCCCAAGCATTGTGGTTTTTAATAGTATTTCTTTTAACATTTTTTTTTTGGTGGAACAGGGGATTGAGCTCAGGCCCTTGCACTTGTGAGGGAAGCACTTATTCCACTGAGCCATCTCCCTGGTAATCGTATTTCTTTAATGGGTTTTTAGCTGTTTTCCTTTAATGGCTAATTTATAGTGAATTTCATCATGTTTTATGGGTTTCACTAGGACATTGAACTGCCAAACTGGCCTGAAGCTTATGACTCCTGCCTCAGTGTCCCGTCAGGGTAATAAAATGACAGGGCTGCCCCACCACACTCAGCCTCAACATTTTTATTTACCTATTTACTAAATGGTCTTTCATTTCTTTTGCCTCTTTTCTCACAACATATTTTTTTTTATTTTAAGTTTGGGGGAACTTTATAAAACACATTCTACAAACCTACTTTCACCAACAAGTTCTGCACACATTCAATCCAGTTTGTGGTGCAGGCTCACCCAGAGCTCTGAGGGAGAGGAGCAGCTTACTGCAGAACACTTCCCAGGTCTCCACCTGGCCCTGGGTGGTGTTGACTCCACGCCCTGGGAGGGAGGCAGGGTTCCTCCAGATTCTGCGCAGCTCCTGAGGAAGAAGGACTCTGTGAGGGATGTTGAGCTCTAAGACCCATGCCAATCCCTCAGATCCACAGAGAACCTCCTCAGAGGAGAAGCAAGGGCTAAGAGAGTCCAAGATCTCAGCTATCACCAAGGAGAGGGCCAGCAGGGAACACTGGGACATGACAGTCCAGACCACAGCAGCTCTGGGAAGGAGAGCCTGAGGTCTATTAGAGGCTCAGCGCTCAGAACTCAGAGCACATGAAGGTAAAGAGTGGTTCCAAGCCCCTCCTGAAGCTGACCCAGGGCCCCTTGGAATCAAGAACTCAACAAAACCTGAGTGCAGGCCAACGTTGCCAGGATGCAGTGACTGAGCACAGTTTTGGGGATGCTCTGTGTCACACTCGAGAGCTGAATGAAAGTGGATCACACGGTGGCAGCCCGGGGCTCCTTGGCTTTCTTCTCTCCCTGCAACCAGGAGGAATCCTGCAATGGGGAGAGTACCAATTTTTAAATACTACTGGGCCCTGCCTCAGACCACAGAATCCCAAGCAAGGAGGGAGACCAAAGATCAGGCCTGAAGCTCAGGAACTCAGGACTGTGGTCCAGGCTTAATGGGAAATTCTGGTTTGGTTTCCCTGACACTGAGGACGTCTTACAAAAGAGTGACATGGTTGCATACAAGATGGAGCCAGAAATTGAACAGATGACCCAAAACAGCAGGTCTTGACGGCAGATGCCTGAAGGAGGCCATACATTCCTTTCCTTCTGAACACAGCCACTTCCCATGTCCCTCAGCATGATGCACAAAATGAGGAGGGAACACCACCCTGCGAGGCTTTTCTCCACTCACCCTGCATTGCATGGTCATAGGTGCAGTCTAGAGTGGCACCACTGGTACAAGTGGCCCTGCTTGGGCTGGCTCCAGCATCACAGTCACAGATACAGTCAGTTTCTTCTTTAGCAAAAGAGACCAAGGTGGCTTTATAGGTACACGTGGCACTGGAGCTGCCACTGAAGCTGACTCTCGCTCCAGCATGGGTTGTGGATCTGCCTCTGGTTTGGTGGCTGCTGCAGGAACTGATTCTTGCTCTCCAGTTGGACCTTGAATGGGTGATGGTGCCAGAGAAAAGGTGGCAAAATCAATCAATTGCTCAGAAACATTCCCTATCTACCCAAAAATCATCAAACCTTGATTCCAAAACAGATCTGTTCCTTGTGTTTCACTGCCTGAGGGGCCTGAGGCTAATGTTTGGGCCTGGCCTATCCCAGCCAGGAGCCTTCTCCTGCTGGATCCAGCACACTCTCCTGTTGTGCTCTGGTAAACCAATCCCAGCCCTCCTCACCCTCAGTCATGGCTCTCATGGTCTCCTTCTCTTCCAGTTGCATCAGTAGAAGGTTCGCACGGTGTTCCAGTCTGAGCCAGGCATGTGCAATTGCACATACTCTACCAGCTGCTTGAGGAATGCGAACTCTGGTGGCAGATTGAACTAGTCTGAGTAGTTTTCAAGCCATATGACAATGGCGGTAGAGATGGCACTGAGGGCAGATGGGTGGGCAGTGTCAAGAAACCCAGCCAAACTACAGGATGCCTCCACTGGAGGGAGCCCTAGATCAACTACTCCCCTTCTTCAGAGAAGCCCACATGTACTGCTCTGTGGAACTTGGGGGGGGGGGTCCTTAGTCACTGGAAGTTAAGCTCTTCAGTGGTTTGTGCTACCACCCACCATGGCTCTGCTGACACATCAGCCTGCGGTCCATGCTGCCAGGCTGCCTCCAACTCTGAGGCACCTATGGGTCTTTTCCTCCCAACCACACTCCTACTGAGGGGTGCACCCACCCCTCACATTTACCAAGTTGCCTGGAAACTACTGCCAAAATAGCAAGGTCAGGTATGAGCATGCCATGCCTCACACAGCCACTGTGCTCTAGTGAGTGATGTGGTGGGCACACATGGTTTGAATGGTCTCTGCTGGTGATGGATCTTAATAGAACTTGGCACAAAACTCTGAGCTCCCCTCTGTTCCCTGGTCTAGGACTCCACCCACAGCTCTTAGATTCTCTTCCTTGAAAGGAAGCCCCTGATATCAGCCCTCCAGCAGGAAAGCCAAGTACAGGAGCTGATGTCTGCCCCCTTCCATATCACACCTTCCCAGATCCCCTCTCTGAATACAGGAGCTTCCCTCTTGAGCCAAAGCCCAGTCACTTTTTCAGTATATCCACAGGCCCAACACTCTTGCTGGACTGAAGGAGACTTTGGCCATACACACAGGCCATGACACTATCACATCTGTAGTCAGCAAAATAAGATGGTACTTTAGGTGTGAGCATCCTTCCTTAGGGACAACTGGCTTCTCCAAACTTCCTCAAGATGAAGACCTAACTGCCACCCCCTCTTCTCCATAGCCCAGATAAAAGGAGGAAACATAAAGATTCTGCCCTGGAACTCAAGCCCCACAGGGAGCAAACCTGAAGCATCATCCTCTTTTCTTTTGTACCATCTCACCTCTCCACCTTCCTATGAAAGACCTTGCATACCTAGACACTTTCACTTTATGATTTGAGGCCAAAGCAGCACCTCCATCCCATTTGAGTAAGACTTGAAGAAAGCCCCTCTCTTTTTCCCCAAAATAAATGGCTTCCTTTGGTTACACCAGGAGTGAGCAGCTGGACCTGAACTGCTAGTAACCCAACAACCCTAATATCCAGTGACTTCTTATGTCTTCTTGGGTCACTATTCTAGGTCAGAGATAAAGCCTAGGAGAGAAGGTAATTTCCTTAGCTCTGAATTGGCTAGTTACCCAGTAGCATGCCTACATACAATGACTGGGTCCTATCTGTGTGTGCCCTGAGTGAAGCCACCCATCTCCTTCTGAGATATCTCATTGGGTCCCAGCTCCTTCAGTACACCCCCAGGGCTTCCACTCTGCTTGCATCTAAGACAGGAGGCTCCCAGATGGAGTCCTGAGCATCCCTTACAGATGGTGAATGTGCTCCGCAGCTTCTTGTAAGGGAGGACCAAGACTGAGGGATTCTCTGTGTCAATGCAAGGATACTGTCACACCAACGGAAGCATGACACTAGGTGACTCCTGTATACAAGCACAGCACAGGCATTCTCAGGATCTTTTGTTCCTCACCACACTGTACAGGTCCTTCTATGAGCACCCCTGTTTCCACACAACAAACTGGATCATTGAGTGATTCCAGATGGTGCTGAGCTCCCCTAGTCTACCAGATGGTGCACAAACCTTTGCAATAGCAGATCCAGCACCTGCTGCATGGTGCCAAATGTTAGGTACATTATAAAAAACTTGTGGAGGAATAAGTCATTCCTATGATGCGCAGATGGCACCAGAGAGTTGACCATAGTTTCCATTCTAGCAGTCTTCGGAAGTTCAAGGCAAGCTCAAGTATCCACAGTCTGACCTGGCACCTTTTCACCCTGCAGTGGGACCATGGAAACAGTAATTGTATTAATCACGTGTCTGTCTGTGGGACCAGTACTCTACACAATTTCAGAGGAGGAGAGGCTTACTTGGACCACAGTTTTATAGAGTTTATTCCATGGTTGGGTGGACCCTAGGCAGAAATTCCAAGACCCAGGTGAAGGGCAAAGGAAAATGGTTCCTAAGCAGTGAGAAAGCAGAAAAAGAAAGAACAGAGGAGACTGAGGCAAAATATACCCTCCAGAGTCACAGTAACAGTGGCCCTCCTCCTCCACTTCAGCCCCAATTCCTAAGAACACTTTCAGCGATGGCATCATAATACATTGGTCCATCGATGAATATGTCACTCATGTAATAACATCACCTCTAAAGGCCTCAACTCTGGATACATGAGACATGTGAGACATCATCATTTTACATTTAAAGGCTACCTTAAAAATGGTCAAATGACATTGCCACATGATGATATGAGAACATCACAAGTTTTGTGCTGACAATCTTTGATGTACATGAACACACACACACACACACACACACACACACACACACACACACAGAAGGTTTGGACCCACACAGAGAAATCAAATCAGTGTGCTGGCCTTTGCTAACCTGTCCTCAGCTACTGTGTGCCTCATGTTGACTCCTCTGAGAAAAGGGCCACAGGCAGCAGATTAGTCGGACACCCCAGTTTCTCCAGGTGTACATGAGCCCTTCTCTGCGAGGCCTCCTAGGGCCTAAGCCTTGGGAAGTCTGGAAGAAAGAACAAAACATCTTCACATGTCCTATGTCTCCAGATAAGTGAGCAGGCATCAGTTAGTTCTGTTATGTGCTGCTTAGCAACAAAGTCGGAGCAATACCTCATCATGAAGGAAGTGATGTCATCAACTGGGGTCTCCTTAACTGAACTTTTCCTCATACTGGACTTGGCCCGAGGCTGCTGGCTGCCCGCGACCCACACTAGTACACAACCAGAAAAATAAAATGAAATAAAAACACTTGACCCATCCTCCCCTAGTAGGCCAGGGATTAACTATCACCCAAGGAAACAGATGGACCCTGCCAACTTCACTCAGGATTAGCTTTAGATATTAGGGTTTAGGACTAGATGTAAGGGTTAAGCTTTGTTTTGATGGTCAGAGTTTGATTTACATGTTAGCATCAGAATGAGGGTTTAGGATTTAGTTACGGTTTAAGGTAAAGGTTCAGTGTTCGATGAAGGGTTATGACTTAAGGATATGGGTAAGGTTTAGGTCCTGGTTTAGAGCTAAAGTGTTATGATTACAGTTATTTTTGAATTACAGTTAGATTCAGGTGTTATTGTTTGAGTCATTGAGATGACTACATCATGCTTTAGTGCTAGGGCTTTGGTTAAAATAGGGTTAGAGTTAGAAGTTAAGAGTTATGCTGACAGCCTTTGGTTACTTTAAATGTTAGAGTTAGGGGTTAGGGTTACAATTACCTTCATGGCTATATTGGTAACGAAATGAGAAGTTTGACCAAATTTGGAAACATACAAGACTTTCAGCTTTTAATAATTCTTTCTGATTTCTAAAATTTAAATCCCTCACATACATCTTCAGCAATATAAATATAGAAAATCAGTTATACACATGCTGCTATTTTCTCTGCTTTCACAGTGTTTGCCAAGTGTCCTCATGCAAATTGATTTTCAATACTCTTTTAATATTTTATTTTAGTCTCACTCTAGTATATTAAATCATCACAGTTACAAAGTCTATTTACATTTTTCTATTCTTTGAATGTGCTTTTATGCCAGATATCTGACTATGTCTCTTGCTGCTGAAAGGTATGGATGGGCAGTAAGTATGTACAAAATCGATACTTACAGTGGCCAATTTTGAAGACAAAGTAATTAATACTAAGAGGAATATTGCCTAATAGCCTGTGAATGTGACAGAGTTCCTGCATCGAGGTCCCTATGCAAATGGGACCTTAAGGGAGAGATAAACTAGCAAGAAAGCCTCTTATGAAAAATATAAATGTAGGTGCAAAAGGAAAATGAAAGGCCTAGAATGACTCATTTTCATAATAACATAGCTAGAGGTAAGTGGAAATGGAGTAACTGCAAGGTCACATAAATTCTCTAGACAGACACACCTGCTCTTTGGAAAGTCCAAAACTAAAGAACAGAAGGTCTTATGAAGAAATCCAAATTTAAATTGGGAGGAGGACCAGGAAAGTGCCTTAGCAGGAGAGAAACAGACAATGTTCAGGAAAGGCTGTTGCCCACGTGGGACTCAGCCACTCAGCTAAAAGGGGAGGAGAGGGAACCTGCACACTGGTAGAGAATGAGCTGTCACTGCACTGCATACGTGAGTTTGCAACACAGACACCAGCCTTGCAAGACTGAATTAAAGCCTCGCTTTGGCTGCTCTTCCTGTCTCTGAGTCCATCAGGACAGGATATCATGTCTGCATCTTGTACTATGAATAACCACTAGAAAGACAACAATATGCAATGTATTAATAATTGAAAATGTCCTACTAATCGGTTTTGAAACTGTCTCATTGTTATTTGTTTCTTAAATAAAATTATTTTTAAAAAATGCTCAAGTAGAAATAGAAGTAGCAATTGTGATTGTGAATTTTTATTTTCTGTGTAATGAACAGCTTTTTAGATAATAAATCCAGGATATGGCCACAGCGTAAGGACAAATATATAATGATGTTAATATATGTGTGTTATCCCTTCAAGAGAAAATATGTAAAGGCTCTTAACTCATGTATTTATATCATTTAATTTTGTCCAAATGTCCTTAATTAAAAATAGGATTAATTAGGATTATGAAACACTACCAACTAAATGTATAAGTAAATGAACAAGCTACTGTTTGAAATCCTGTGACCATGTCTTAAAATAAAATTTTATTTTAGAGTAGTTTCACAAGTATGCAAAAAGTGTAAATGAAGTACAGATTTACCCTGCAGGTTTATTTCTCAAGTAGTTTCCTGTTTTCTGAACATCTAACCCTAACCCTAAGTAAGGTGCTTGAGGTAGCAAGAAAGAGAAAACTAATGTGGACTGGCTTAGCCAGATGTAGCAATTATTAATATGTTTCAAGTAATAACCTTAAACAGTATGAGCTGTAGTACAAAACACCCAAATATTGTTGTGTCGTTTATGCAATGAAACACAGTAAATTTCAGCTTCCAGAAACAAATTCAGCCACATTCCCCACTGAGCTGACACGGCGGCCTCTCAGGAGGCCTGGACATTGCATGCTTCCTTGTGTAGCCTGGATACAGGAGGAGGCTACAGCACATAAGGGTGGCTGCTCTGCTAACCAGGCCCAGCTCAGGGGGCAGGAGGGTTGTATGTTTATGATTTGACACATTTTCTATTAAAACCACACAAGACTTACAAAGAGAAGAAATTTTTGTTTTAAAACATTCGGCGATTTCCATGTTAAGTAAAAAGTGTGGAAAGAATTGTGATCTTCTAAGTAGATAAGTGCTTTTGCTGGCCTTTGGTTGTATATAAAAAATGCTACAATGCTACAAAAAGCACCATTATGACCATAACAGAGAAAGAGAGGTTCATAGAGGCCAAAAAATCGCATTTCTGAAGAAACTGGTAACATAGTACTTGAGACACATAAGTCAGTGGATACGATGCAGAACTTTCTTATGAATTCAAAAGATCTACAAATCATGAAAGAAGATACCCTGGGTTGACTCACTAAAGCATTGGAGCACCCACGTTATCCACCTGTGTTCCTTCTAGTGTATTGGTAACTGAGGTAAATCAGACCCACATGTGCAAACACTGTACTGTCTCACTAGTGTGAGAACCTAAAAGAGAAAGGTACAATAAACAGATACTGTGAAAGAGAAAGAATCTTTTCAATAGAAAGGAAAAAAATGAGATGTAGAAAAGAAAAAAGAAAGAAAGGAAAACAATGTATTCACATATAGATATAGGAGAGCTTGGATAATTGTACTGCTGATCTCTGCTGGTCTATTGAAAGGAGTAACTAGTGCTTAATTTCTTTTAGACTTTTCTTCTCCTGTTTTATTACTTACAACTTTTTAAACCAATTTTGCAGGTTTATGTATAGTAAACTGAACAACTAAGTTGAAGGTAATATTATGGAACAACCATTGTCAAATTTCTATTACTTTGTTTAATGAAATTTTCTATCATTTCTAATTTTTTTTTACATTTTTTTCTTTTGGTGGTACCAGGGATCAAACTTAGGACCTTTCACTTGCCAGGCAAGCACTTATTCCACTGAGCTATCTCCCCAGCCCATACCATTTTGTATTCTCTAAAAAATAAAAGTGAGGCTTCCTCTCCCAAATTCCTCTTCCTTCAGGGCCAAAACAACAAGGTTCTAAGCTGCCTAAGGACAACACAGGACTCCTGTCCCACTATATGCAGGCTCCAAGCAGCAACATCTCCACAGATTTGGCAACTGGCCAAGTCTCATTCATTTCTTCACTACCCCAATGCATAGGTCCAAAGATACCAGATCAAACCAAACCAAACCCAAGAAAAGCCTGGGGGGGCAGGGGAATGGCATTAACAGAGAATGTTCCTTTGTTCTAATGGCTTTGAGCATCACACTATGCTGACATTTGGACACAATGCAGGTAGAACAAACATATCTCTACACATCGGCCTTAGAAAAGGATTATTTAGGGGCCGGGGAGGTGGCTCAGTAGAATAAATGCTTCCCTGGCTAGCACAAGGGCCTGAGTTCTATCCCTGGTTCTGGCAGAAAAATAAATTAATAAAATAAAAGGTTTATCTAAATTCCTATGTTGCAATTGATTATTGTTACTCTTTCCTCTTTTTCCTAATTCTGTGAACACCCATACTTTAGCCACAGTCCTGAACAGAATCAATTTCTGAGCTATTCCTATTCCAGGAAAGTAAACAAATAAATTCACAGCTTATGGTTTTGCCTATTAAGAAGCTCTATCCCCTTGTTGCCCTTCAAGATCACCCTCAGTGCCTGACCTGGTGGCCGTCCTCTCAGGTGAAACACTACATTATCAGAAATATCTCCACATGTGATCTGCATTTTGCTCCAGTCAGCCGGGCATAGGAAGCTCCCACAGAGTATAGGCAAGAAGGACAGCAGTTGTGGCCATCTAATTAGATTACACAATATTGGAGATATTAGAATATGGAGTGTGGGAGGGGAAAGTCAGTAAGGAATGACTAACACTGGGTAAGCACCAGGAATGAGATAGGTTGCTTCTTAGTGTTCCTAACCTGCCAGAGTGGGATTGTGACACTGAGAAGTCTAACTCCTGAGTGCACTAAACCACTATTCAGAGCCCTTCGAGCCCTTAGCAATTAGAAATTTACAAAAGAAAAAGTGGTGCTGTGTTCTTGAAATCCTAGCTCTCAAGAATCAGAGGTGGGATGATCACTGGGCTCCAGTAGTGCAAGACCAGCTTGGGCGGTATAAAGACACCAGCTTCAAAAAAGATAAAAAAAAAAGAACAAGCACTGATAGACTGGCAACAAATCTAGTGGACACCACTAAAGTTCTCTGGTGCCATCTGCTGTTGGTCCTAGGCTGCCTGTAGAAAATGCTTGCTCTTCCAGCTGATGGTGTTGTCACCTGCTTCCTCAAACTTGGGCAAACAAGTGTCTTCTCTGCCTCTGCATCATTTGTTCAAAGAATATCAGGTTATTATCCTTATTTAAACAAAAATAGTGCTCTAACCAGATAAATCAATAGAAAAGGAGTGAAAATGACCCCAAAACGGACTCCTCTGGCTTTGGGATCTGAAGACAGATTCTGCCTAGGAGGGCAAGGCCTGGCAGTCCTTGGCACTCCTTCTGTGGCCTCCAAGCAGCCCCGTGACTTGGCAGGGAGCTGAGCTGCAAGTGGGGTCAGCGCTGAGGAGGCGGAGTGGGCATGCGACATGGAGGTCGCTTACCACGGAGGAGGTGCTTGACACAGGTGAGCACCGATCCCAGCGTAGCAGCCGCAACAGAAACAAAGTTTAGAAATACAACACTGAAAAGGAAAACCAAAGCCCAAATCCTAAACGCAGTTTAATAGATTATAGTGCTTGAAAACAAGGAAAAAGGACCTTGCAAAGTGTACTCAGGATTAGCTTTAGATGTTAAGATTTAGGACTAGATGTTAGGGTTAAGCTTTGTTGTTAGGGTCAGAGTTTGATTTACATGTTAGAATCAGAATGAAGGTTTAGGATTCAGAGTTAGGGTTTAAGGTAAAGGTTCAGTGTTCCTTGAAGGGTTATGACTTAAGGGTATGAAAAGGGATTTGGTCCTGGTTTAGACCTAATGTGTTATGATTACAGTTAGGTTTGGATTATAGTTAGATTTATGTGATGTTGTTTGAGTCACTGAGATGACTACATCATGCTTTATTCCTAGGAATAGTTTCACTGACAGCGTTTGGTTACTTTAAATGTGAGAGGTAGGGGTTAGTGTTAGAATTACCTTCATGACTATATTGATAATAAAAGGAGATATTTCACTAATTTGGAAACATACAAAATTTTCAGCTTACAATAATTCTTTGTGATTTCTGAATTTATAATTCCCTGCATATACTTTGAGCAATATAAATATAGAAAATCATTTATACACATGCTGCTAGTTCTCGGCTTACACAGTTTTTACAAAGTGTCATCATGCAAATTGATTCTTAGTATCCTTTTAACTTTATTTTAGACAGTCTCACTCTAGAATATTAAATCATCACAGTTACAAATTCTATTTACATTTGTCTATTGTTTGAATGCGTTTATGTGCCAGATCTCTGACTGTACTCCTTGCGGCTGAAGGGTATACATGGGCACTAAGTATGTAAGAAATGGAAATTTGAAGTGGCCTATTTTGAAGACAAAGTAATTAATTCTAAGGGGAAAATTATCTAATAGCCTGTGAATGTGACAAAGTTCCTGCATCCAGGTCCCTATGCAAATGAGACTGTAAGAGAGAGATAAACTAGCAAGAAAGCCTTTTATGAACAATATAAATGTATTGCAAAAGGAAAATGAAAGGTCTAGAATGACCCATTTTTATAATAACATAGCTAGAGCTAAGTGGAAACTGAGTAACTGTAAGGTCACATAAAATCTCTAAACAGAAACACCGGCTCTTTGGAAAGTCCAAAAGTAAAAAACAGAAGGTCTTATGAAGAAATCCAAACTCAAATTGTTAGGAGGACCTGGAAACTGCCTTAGCAGGAGAGACACAGGCGATGTTCAGGAAAGGCTGTTCCCCAGGTGGGACTCAGCCACTGAGCTAAAAGGGAAGGAAAGGGAACCTGCATGCTGGGAGAGGAGGAGCTGTCACTGTGATGCGTAGTGTAGGTGAGCTTGCAACACAGACACCAGCCTCGCTAGACTGAATTAATGCCTCGCTTCGGCTGTTCTTCCTGTCTCTGAGTCCATCTGGACAGGCTATCATGTCTGCATCTTGTACTCTGAGTAACCACGGCAAAGGCAACAATATGCAATGTATTAATTATGGAAACTGTCCTACTAATCAGTTTTGAAACTGTCTCATTACTATTTGTTTCATAAATAAAATTAATCTTAAAAAAGGAAAGAAAATGTGCAGGTATAATTTGAAATAGCACAGTGAGGTGTGAATTTTTTATTTTCTGTATAATGAACAGCTTTTTAGATAATAAATTCAGGATATGGCCACAGCCTAAGGACAAATATTTAATGATATGAATATATATGTGATATTCTTTCAAGAGAATATATGTAAAGGCTCTTAACTCATGTATTTGTATCATTTAATTTTGTACAAATGTCCTTAATTAATATCAGGATTAATTAGGATTATGAAATACTACCAACTAACTGTATAAGTAAATAAACAAGCTAGTGTTTGAAATCCTGTGACCACGTCTTAAAATAAAATTTTATTTTGGAGTCCTTTTATAAGTATGCAAGAACTGTGAAGTACAAATGTCTCCTGCAGGTTTATTTCTCAGGTACTTTCCTCATTGTTAACATCTAACCCTAACTCTAAGCAAGGTGCTTGAGGTTGCAAGAAAGAGATAATCAATGTGGACTGGCTTAGCCAGATGTAGCAATTATTAATATGTTTAAAGTGATAATGTTAAAAAGTATGAGCTGTAGTTCAAAACACGCAAATATTGTTGTGCAGTTTATGCAATCAAACAGAGTAAATTCCAGCTTCCAGAAACAAACGCAGCCACATTCTCCTCTGAGCTGACAGGGCAGCTTCTCAGGACACTTGGACGTTGCAGGCTTCCTTGTATAGCCTGGATACAGGAGGAGGCCACAGCACATGAGTGTGGCTGCTCCCCTAACCAGGCCCAGCTCAGTGGGCAGGATGTTTGTATATTTATCAATTGGCACATTTTCCATTAAAACCACACATGACTTACAAGGAGAAGAAATTTTTGTTATAAAGTATTTAGTTCATTAACTTCCATATCAAGTAAAAAGTGCAGAAAGAATTGTGATCTTCTAAGTAGATAAGTGTTTTTGCTGGCCTTTGGTCGTACAAAAAAATGCTATAATGTTGCAAAATACACCTTTATGCCCATAACAGAGAAAGAGAGGTTTATAGAGGCCAGTTCATCTGATTTCTGAAGAAACTGGTAAAATGCTATGTGAGACACATGAGTCAGTGTATACGATGCACAACTTTCTTATGAATTCAAAAGATCTATAAATCATGAGAAAAGATACCCTGGGTTGACTCACTAAAGCATTTTAGCACCCACGTCATGCACCTGTGTTCCTTCTGGTGTACTGGTAATGGAAGTAAATCAGACCCAGAGGTGCAAACATTGTACTGTCTCGCTAGTGTGAGAACCTAAAAGAGTAATGTACAATAAATAGATAGTGTGAAAGAGAAAGAATCTGTTCAATGGAAAGAAAAAAACTAAGATGTGGAAAAGATGAAAGAAAGAAAGAAAGAAAGAAAGAAAGAAAGAAAGAAAGAAAGAAAGAAAGAAAGAAAGATAGAAACACAGGCAGACAATATATTTAAGTATAGATGCAGGAGAGCTTAGATAATTGTACTGCTGATCTCTGCTGTTCTATTGAAAGGAGCAACTAGTGTTTAATTTATTTTAGTCTTTTCTTCTCCTTTTTAATTTCTTATAACATTTTTAACCAATTTTACTGATTTATATCTGGTAACCTAAAGAACTAAGTTGAAGGAAATATTATGAAGCAACCATTTTCAAATTCCTATTACTTTGTTAAATGAAATTTTCTATCATTTCTAAATTTTTTCCACGTTTTTTTTTTCTTTTGATGATACCAGGGATGAAACTCAGGATCTTGCACTTTCCGGTCAAGCACTTATTCCACTGAACTATCTCCCCGGCCTCTGCCATTTTGTATTCTCTAAAAAATAAAATTAAAGCTTCTTCTCCCAAGGCCATCTTCCTTCAGGTTATAAAACAACTAGGTTATGTGCTACCAGAGGATAATTCAGGACTCCTGTCCTGCTATAGGCAGGCTCCAAATAGCAACATCTCCACAGATCTGGCAACTGGCTAAGTCTCATTCATTGCTTCATAAGCCCAATGCATAGGTCCAGAGGTGGAACTATATCAAACCAAACCAAACCCAAGACAATCCCAGGGAGGCAGGGGAATGGCATTCACAGAGACCATTCCTATGTTCTAATGGCTTTGAGAATCACACTGTTATGACATGTGGACAGAATGCATATAAAATAAGTCTGTCTACACATGGGCCTTAGAAAAGGTTTATCTAGGGGCCGGGGAGATGGTTCAGTAGAATAAATGCTTCCCTGGCAAGCACAAGGGCCTGTGCTCAATCCCCAGTTCCACCAAATAAATAAATAAATAAATAAATAAATAAATAAATAAATAAATAAATAAATTTTACTAAATTCCTATCTTGCAATTGATTATTGTTAATCTTTCTGTCTTTCTTAATTCTGTGAACACCCATAATTAGCCACAGTCCTGAAAAGAATCAATTTCTGGACTATTCCTATTCCAGGAAAGTGAACAACCAAATTCACAGCTTACAGATGTTCTTATTAAGAAGCTGTAACCCCTTTTTGCCCTTCAAGATCAATCTGGAGGGACTAACCGTGTGGCCGCCCTCTTGCAGGTGAAACACTACATCATCACAACTATCTGCACATCAGATCTGCATTTTTCTCCAGTCACCTGGCCATAAGAAGCTTCCCACAGAACCTATTAAAGAAGGACAGCAGTTGCAGCCATCTAACAAGTTTACACACCATTGGAGATATTAAAATATGGAGCGTGGAAGAGAAAGTCAGTAAGGAATGGGTAACACGGGGGAAACACGTCAGGAATGACATAGGCTGTTTCGTAGTGTTCCTAACCTGCCAGAATGGGATTGTGACGCTGAGAAGTCTAACTCCTGAGTGCTCTAAAACACTACTCAGAGCAATGAGAACACTACTTAGTAATTAGAAATTTAGAAAAGAGAAAGTGGTGTTGTGTTCTTAAAATCCTAGCTCTCAAGAATCAGAGGTGGGAAGATCACTGGGCTTGAGTAGTGCAAAACCAGCTTGGGAGGTGTAAAGACACCAACCTCAAAAATGATAAAGAAAAAAAACAAGCACTGATAGACTGGAAACAAATCTAGTGGATGCCACTGAAGTCCTCTGACGCCATCCGCTGTTGTTCCAAGCTTGGCTGCAGCAAATGCTTGCTCTTATAGCTGATGGTGTTGTCACCTGCTTCCTCAGACATGGGCACACAAGTGCCTTCTCTGCCCCTGCTTCATTTGTTCGAACAGATTTTCAGGTTATTTTGTTTAAACAAAAATAATGCTCCAACCAGAACTTTCTCTTAAAAAGTGTAGGATGAAGCCACCTCCTGAAATGCTCAAAACAGTATCTATGGGCCAGCAAAACAGTTCAGTGGACTACAGCACCTGCTTAGGCAAGCTTAGGCAACTGCAGGCACCACATGCTGTGTTGGCCCTGCCCACAGTCAGGCTGCGCCAGCCACAGAGTCCAGGCACAGTGGCACCCACCTGTAATCTCAGCACTGGGGAGGCTGAAAACAGGAGGATCATTCCGAGCTGCCTAGTGAGACCCTGCAGCAACCACATATATTTTTAAAAAACAAAACAAAACAATATCTAGAAATGTTCCTGCTGGTGGAATCCACAGAAAACGTACTGGCAAATGCAAGTGCTTTGATCCTTCAAAGGGAAAACTAAAGACAATAAATAACAAAAGCTTAGTTTCCCTTTTTATCATATGGAAGGTCTCTTGGGCCTTACTCTTGTTAGTTTATATTTGTCATACATACCGATCACATTCATCACAAGAAATTTGTACCTGTGTATAACATATCTTAATTCTTTCTCTTTTTTTCCTATTCCGCTCCCATCCTGCAACACCTGCTCCCCCTCTCATTTTGAAAAGCTTTCTTTCCATTTTTTTCAGTTCATTGACTTTTATTTCATTTCTCCTCCTTTCCCCTTCCAATTGGAAAATTTTCTTTCTACTTCCCAATATCTGTTATATATTTTGGGCCTCGTTGATGCTTTCATTTCCTCATACAAGGAAAACAGTACTGTAATATGTATCTGATTTATTTCATTTACAAAATACTTTCATAAGATGCCTCCACTTACCTAAAATTGTCTCAAGTTTGTCCATCTTTATGGCAGTGTAGTACTGTGAAAATCAATATGGTGTTTTCCTCACAAAACTAAAATTGTAAGTTTCATTTCACCCAGATATTCCACTATTTTATTTATTTTCTTCTTTATTTTAATCATTAAGAGACCTTAGGCTAATATCTGTAATAACAGTGCTTGTTGAAGTGAAAACAAGTAAAGGAATCGGTTGATTACTGATTGTGTATTGAAAGCAGTAAGAGGTTCCACAGCATCAAATAAACCAGTTCTGAGCATTCCCATGGCAAATTTAATAGCTCCAGCTTCTTCAATGTCTATCAAAATACAAAAGAAAAAGCAGAGGTCATCTTTTCTAATGACAAAATGGACCGTTGCAGGCTGAGGGAGGAAGCTACTTCCCACATGGAGGTGGGGGTACACCAGGACTATGCTCTGGAATGAACCAACCACCCCAGCTTGCAGGCGCTCCTGCTGGTGAGACCCAGACTTTGACCAATGTAAGTCTCAAGTGGGCACCGGGAACAGGCACCACTCCAGCTGCACACTGACTGAGGGGGAGGGTGGGCCCCGTGCCCCCATAAATCTGCATTCCAAGTTGAACATGTGAGCGTGAGTATAAGCACGATGCTATGGAATGAGGGTGACCCAAAGACAGATGGGCCACAGGGTCTCAACTACCTGTTCTCTCTCTCTCCCTCTGTCTCTTTCTGTCTCTCTGTCTCTCTGTCTCTGTCTCTCTGTCTCTCTCTCTCTGTCTCTCTGTCTCTCTCTCTCTCTCTCTCTCTCTCTCTCTCTCTCTCTCTCTCTCTTTCTCTCTCTCTGTATCTGTATGTCTGTCTCTGTCTCTGTCTCTCTAATGTATGGTTGTCTACAAGCCAGAAAAAAACCCATAACAGATCTACATCATTATCACTTTGATCTTATACTATACATCTTCAAATAAAATCAATTCATGTTACTGTGGTGTAGGAGACAACCCTGAAGCCAACATCCCAGTGGGACCTTTCTGTCTTTACATGTCCCTCCTAACTTCTGATAGCTGGCAATTCTGCTTCTCACATTCCTTTTCTTTTGTAGATTTATCTCACCATTCTCTTCCTCCATTATCTCAAGGCATTTTCCCTGTCTCTGTTCAACTATCCCTCTCCCCACAAGGAAAAAATTCACTTAATTCCATAAAATCCAATCATACCTTTTTCTTCTCATTTTTTGTTAATTTTATTCAGAAACAAATAGCAATGAGACAGTTTAAAAATAGTTTAGTAGGATAGTTACAATAATTCACACATTGCATATTGTTGTCTTGGTAGTAGTTGTTCATAGTACAAGATGCCGACATGATATGTTGACCAAACACTATTAGTACAAATCTTACTTTTCATTGAATTAAGAGAAAGTAGATGTGTATCTGTCCTATTTTGTATGTACAGATACAAAATGGTCCTTCATTTGTTTTTCCTTTTTCTGTTTAGTTTTGTCAGAATGGGTATTTTGTTGCTATTTAATATTGTAGGTATGTGAATTCAGCAAAATAATCCAATGTAGTCCAGTAGTCCCTAACAGTAGTGGGTCATCTTTAGGACTGGCAATGTCAGAAGCTGTTGCCTTGAGCCTTTTACAGCTCAGCATATTAATATGGATTTGCTTTTGATGTCTCTTTTCCTCTGGATGGTTAAGACCAATATAAAGCAAGAACTATATATACTCGATTACATCTGCAAAAATGTTATTTCCAAATGTGCTCACATTCACAAGTACCAGGGAACAGAACTTCAACATGTCTTCAGGGACACACAATTCAATCCATAGGAATAAAAATTTAATGCTGCTTGTTATACTTTTGAAAATGTCCCCAGGCAAGATATGGTGATAACATTTTTAAAAATGAAAATGGATGGACAGTAAAAGGAAATCTCTTTAATATTTTTCAAATTATTATTTAATTATTTTTTATTTTTTGAGGAGAGTACAAAATAGTATTCAAACAAAATTGCAAATGAGGAGATGGAAACCAGCATGCAGCTTTGCATGGAGTCCTGCCACGTAGGACCTGACCAACTCTATTTTAAGAAACTATCAGAATGATAAAATCAAGTCCTGGAGAAGAATGGGAATATCCAAAAGTTTCAGTTTTTGTTGCTACTTGCAACTGAAGAGATTATATGGGTTCTTAAGTTTACCTTGGGAAACTTCAGGTTTATTTGGTGTTGTGGAAACTTTTACTGCATTTAATAAACAATTATTAATCAATGGTTTTGTATATTTGTTTTCACTTTCCATTTCGACAAACACTGTAATTATAACTATTAGAATAAAGTCTCCTTAAAGGAAGGGCTACAAGGACAGAAATCATTTTGGCTCTAGACTTTCAAGGTCAGTGCGGACTCAGGAAATAGGAGAACCTGTACTGTAACATTCTGTAACTCAGTTGTATCCCAAATTTTCTGATCAAGGAGATTATGGGGGTCATAGGGGAAAGTGTTTGATGATGTAAAATGTGCCTAAGGAGAGTCACATGGAGAAAAAACTTTCACTCAGGCTTTCACAGAGAGCAAATTGGTCAAGCAATGGCCATGATTCATCCACATGGCTTAACAATGACAAAGAATCTACAAACTATGGTACAGAGTTTCAGGGTAAGTCCTGATTGGATTTGATTGACCTTGGCAGATACAAAACTTACATTTCTTGTTATACAGGTCTTGCCTTATCTTGGTCTTAACCATCCAGCAGAAAAGGATAAAAACGAGATACAAAAAGTAAAACCATATTAATATGCTGTGCTGTAAAAGGCTCAAGTCAACAACTTCTCACATTGCCAGTCCTATGGATAATCCACTACCATTATGGACTACTAAATTATATTGGATTATTTTGCTAAATTCATGCATCTATAATATTTAAATACCAATTTAATACCCATCTCTGACAAAACTAACCAGAAAAAGGGGATATAAATGAAAAATTGTTTTGCATCTATATGTACAAAATAGATAGGATAGATATACAGCTACTTTCTCTTAATTCAATGAAAAGAAAGATCTGTACTTATAGTATGGCCAGAATATCATGTCCGAATCTTTTACTAGGAATCACCACTACAAAGACAATATGCAATGTATTCATTATTGTAACTGCCCTACTAACCTGTTTTGAAACTGTCTCATTGGTATTTGTTCTCAATAAAATTAATTTAAAAAAGAATGAACTACTTTCACTATTAAACTACTTTCACTATTAAATATCTTGCTCAAAGATATATGGGGATAGATGTGCTGTTCCAAGGATTTTGAAGTTTCTCAAGTCGATTGATCTACAGGAGCCACTACAACAGAAATTCTGCTTTCCTCCTGTGAAGGAGAATATCTCCCAAGATACTGAACACTTGATCCAGCCATGTTTGGCATTAAAACAGAACCTGAGTTCTTTCAACATGAAGTGGTGCTACTTGCCTCTCACCTAATAGATGACTCTGGAAACACATATCGCATGATTGCACAAGATGTCTTTGACATTAACACCCAGCTCCACATAATTGTGAGTGGGGAGGATGAAGCAGACATAGGAGTCCATAGGCCTGGCTCTGGTGAAGCTACCAGACATCCTTTACCACCTGAATCCAGATATCCTTATTGTTCATGGGGACAGGTTTGATGTCCTGGCCTTGGCTACCTCTGCCACCTTGATGAACATCCGCATTCTTCACATTGGAGGTCGAGAAATCTGCGGGACTATTGATGACTCCATCAGACATGCTATAACAAAGCTAGAGTATTATCATGTGGGCTGCACCCGCAGTGCAGAGCAGGACCTGATAAGCATGTGTGAGGACCATAGTCACATCCTGCTGGCAGGCTGCCCTTCCTAACAAATTTGCCCCAACCAAGGACAAAAAATATATGAGTATCATTCGAATGTGGTTATGTAATGTTGTAAAATGCAAAGATTAGTTTGTTGCACTGCAGCACCCTGTGACCACTGACATTAAGCATTCCATAAAAATGTTTGCATTAACACAGGATGTGCTTATCTCATTTAAGAGGCAGACCTTTATTTTGTTTCCCAATATTGATGCAGGGAGCAAAGTGATAGTTCAAGTGATGCAGAAGAAGGGTATTGAGCAACACCCCAATTTTCATGCAGTTAAACATGTACCATTTGATCATTTTATAGAGCTGGTTCCCCATACTGGTTGTATGATTGCTAATAGCAGCTGCACGGTACAAGAGGTTGCCGCTTTTGGAACCCTGTGATCAATCTGGGCACATGTGTCAGATTGTCAGAGAAACAGGGGAGAATATTCTTCTCATCCACGATGCTGATACACAAGGCAAAATATTGCAAGCACTGGACCTGTAGTTTGGTAGACAGTAACCTTGCTCAAAGATATATGGGGATAGATGTGCTGTTCCAAGGATTTTGAAGTTTCTCAAGTCGATTGATCTACAGGAGCCACTACAACAGAAATTCTGCTTTCCTCCTGTGAAGGAGAATATCTCCCAAGATACTGAACACATTCTACAAACTCTACAAACCTTGGCTGTTGATATTAGAGGGACAAACACTGATGGCAAGAGTCAGCATGAAGGGTGAAATACTTAAGAAGTATACTCAGTTCAATCCTAAAACTCATGAAGAGAGAATTAATTTAATCCTACAGATGCTTGTGCAAGCTGCAGCAGAGGCTATGAAACTGAACTGCAGAGTTTTGGGAGTAGGCATTTCTACAGGTGGCCATGTAAACTCTCAAGAAGGGATTGTCCTGCACTCAAACAAACTCATACAAGAATGGAACTCTGTGGACCACATGAGCCCTCTGTCTGCACATTGCATCTTCCCGTGTGGGTACACAGTGATGGCAACTGTGCTGCCATGGCAGAAGGGAAATTTGTTCAAGAAAAGGGACTGGAAACATCATAACACTTCTCACTGGAACAGGTATTGGTGATGGATTCATCCATCAGCACGAACTGATCCACAGAAGCTCCTTCTGAGCTGCACAACTTGGCCACTTTGTCCTGTCTCTGGAAGGCCTGACTGCTCCTGTGGGAGTCATAGGTGCCCTGAAGCGCATGCTTCTGAAATGGCCTTACAGAGGGAGGCCAAAAAGCTATATGATGCGAACCTGCTCTTGGTGCAAGGGATGTCAGTTACAAAAAATGAAGTGAGAGTACTGTTTATCTCATTCAAGCTGTAAAGGTTGGCAGTACAAAGGCCCAGAGCATCTTAAGAACAGCTGGATCGACTTTGGGTCTTGGGGTTGTCAACATCCTGCATACTATGAACCCTTCACTTGTGATCCTGTCAGGCATCTTGGCCAGTCACAATACGCACACTGTCAAAGACGACATCTGCCAGCAGGACTTGTAATCAGTACAGGATGCAGACATGATGGTTTCAGATCTTGTGGACTCTGCCCTGATTGATGCTGCCAGCATGGTTCTGCATTACTCAATGTGCAGGATCCACTCAGCCTCACACAGTAAAGCAGACAGAGACTGTGGAGCACCTTGGTGGAATCAACTTCTCTCTTAGATGGACATTTCTTAAAAAGCAAGTTGGTATTTAACTGCAGGCATTATTGGCAGAGTGCTTTTGTGATTTTGTGTCCTCCTCCACATTTGTCTTTTCTCATACCCATCTTTGTAGATGCTGCTTTCTGATGTTTTTCTCATATGAATCACTCTAATGTTAACCCTATAAGTTTTACCCACAACTTCCTGGGACAGAAAGAGCCACAGCAGTAGCCCAGAAGCCTCGGGACTTTGCCTGCTGAGGTACCACTGAGACCTGCAAGCCTGCTCTGAGATGCAAGCTTCACGAGTGTATTCTGGTTAATAGTCCTTCGCTGAAGGCCCAGCTATCATCA